TTATAGCTTGGGGTTCAGTATATGGAGGTAATTCCATCCCAATGAGCAACTGCTCCTCACGCTTTCTTCTTTTAGTCATTCTCCTCGTTATAAAACCCCGCCATACCCGTTGTATAGCAGCAGCTGCTGTAGCTGAAATTTCACCTTTCTGATCCCTACCTTTCTCTTTCAACAAGCGTATTTCCTTCATAAACTGGCCTCTAAAATTTATTTAAAAGGGTAGTAAGTTTTTAATAAAAAAAATTACTTCGTCGTCATCATAAGTGTAGTCAGATAAATAAAGTTCCACCAAATCATGCTTGATTTTAAGTAATCGGCCTAGGAAAGCTTCCAGAAGACATCGTACAATTAAGCGCTTTTGTGGCTGCAGTAATTGATCGTAAATTGTGTCTAATCTGCAAAGCAGCACAGTATATCGTATTCGTAACTCTGATAAAAGAGGCTGAAATACAGAACGTTCAGCAACTCCCGTCTCAAAAACTACTTCATCTGTTTGAGTGGTCTCTCCTATCAGTTCTGATGTTTCACAAATAAGATTATTGTAGGTTTTATTTGACATTATAAATAATAACGTTAACGCAAAAGTAACGTTATTTGTAACTCAGCTTACAATGTTAAGTTTTGCCGAAAACACGTAAATCACAAAAATGGTTTATATATTTCTTCGTGTAAAGACCCTTTTGAATAAGTTAAAATTCATACAAAATAAAAATCACAACATAAGCTAAAAATCACCTTTAACGTCACACAGTAATACACAAAATGTGCGCAGTTTTATTGAATAAACAGCTCATCACTATGTGCCTGGTCGCTATCATATTGTCACGCTTGGATTAACGTGTTTAATTTTGTAAAAGTATCACACCGAATGTTAAAGGGTTGCTATACTAATTTGACAGCCATAGCTGTAAATTATACCATGTTATTTTACCTTTTTTATTCGAAAGGTTACATTCTCGTCTGTATAACGTATAATACTTTTATGAAGTGAAACCCTTATAGTATTTTATATTTAGTTAAATTTCTTTTTAAAATTTATTTCAATCTAAATCGTAAATTGTGTATTTGACATATGAATATTGTTTTACTATAGCAGCTATATTGCTTGCTAGGACTAGTAAGGGCTTTTAAGTGAGTTATTTAGGAAGAACTAGGCCCATACCCAAGAAGAATAATTAAAATGAAATTCTAATAAATACTCATCACTCTATATTTAAATGATGTTTATACGGGCAGTTTTATTATGATTGTAGCATCAATGGCCTTCTCGACCGAGAAAAGACTATACTCTCACAGAATACTAGTGTAAAACGGCAGCTTAGTGCTGCTGTGTTTCGTGTGGTGAGTATAGAGTACCACCATTTTTACTGGAAACGAAGCATTCCATTTTAGTTCTCAGGGGTGACAATGTATCTGCATTTTGATTCTTAGTTGAGGAAAAATATAGACGTCCATGGGCCACAGCAACTTACAATTGGGTGCACTGTGTGCTCGTTTATTACTCTTATTATATAAATATAATTTGTTATAAGGATATGCCGCTTATTTTTATTTTATTTTATTTATTAGGTTCTCCAACAGTTATAACACAATACATTTGAATAAAAGATACAAGTTCTAACATGTCTTAAACTAAGTGCATAAGTACTTATAGGGGAACACATCATGCGCTTAATAATAATTAGTTACTTATATGTAAAAGAAAAGAAAAATCATAAATACCTATTTTAAGTTATTTTTTAACAAATTACAGAAGATATTTTTTGTGATAAATTCCCTGATCTGCTTACGAAAAAGTTTTAAAGAATCAAAATTAAGATCTACCGATGTGCTGCATTCATTGTAAAGTTTACTCAATCTAGGAACAGGAGAGAAATGACCAAGTTTAGTCCTACGCAATGGTGGGTTCATAGGTTGAACAGGCTTTCTCGGAAGCCGATAACAGGACAGTCTATCTTATTATGGAACAGCTTGTATACGAACATTAAATCTAAAATGTCACTTCTTGCTTCAAGCGGCAGTAAATTAAAAGCGAGAAGCCTACTTTTGTACGATTTAAGCGATCGAGCTTTACCCACAGAGAACGCTACGTGCCATAGAAACTTTTTCTGAACCCTTTCCAAGCGTAACGAATGTGTTGGGAAATGGGGCCTCCAAACAACACTGCAGTATTCCATAATGCTACGCACAAAACTATTATAAAGAATCATCTTGGTGTTAACGGTCTTGAAAATCTTTGTATTGCGTATGATGAAACCGAGCATTCCGGATGTTTTTTTTTATAATATGGTCGAAATGTGTTATAAATGTAAGCTTCTCATCTAGCAGCACGCCCAAATCACGAACATTGTCAACTTCTCGTAATTTGACACGATTGATTTGGTATGAAGAATTTATAATATTATTTTTGCGCGTAAATTTTATATGTGTACACTTTTTCGCGTTGAGTACCATATTGTTTTCGTGACACCACCTCGTCAACTTATCCAAGTCAGCTTGCAGGAGATTTACATCATCCATGGAATCGATTTCACGCAAAAGTTTAAGATCGTCAGCATATAAAAAAGATTTAACATTAGTAAGGTTAACAAAGACATCATTGACGAATATGTTAAATAAGACAGGGCCGAGGTGCGAGCCTTGTGGCACTCCTGATGATATTTTGTAGATTTCACCATAGGCTGAAAGCTTACAAAGAAGGAGGCAATGAGAAGCAGTGCAAATGCTTTGCTAAAATCCGTGTTAATAACGTCAATCTGTTTGTTATTTTCCATAGACTTAATCAATTCTTCGGTGAAGCACACTAAGTTTGTAGAAGTCGATCTACCCCGCGTAAATCCGTGTTTTTGGTCTGTTAAAAATTGTTTGAAATAGTTTTGAATTAGGGGTGTTATCAATGACTCCATAACTTTACCCATTTGAGGGAGAATTGAAATTGGTTGGTAGTTTCCTATTACATTTTCACCGTCAGATTTGTAAATTGGTACAACTTTAGCCACCATCTAGACTTCGGGGAAAACTCCAGACTTGAGAGAAAAATTAAATATGTAGTGTAGTGGAGTGACTAAATTTGATGCACAATTAACCAAAAAAAATGCCGGAATCTTGTCATATCCCGCCCCTTTCAACCTATCCAGCTTGGACAAACTTTGGTAAATTATTTCTTCTGTCAGGTTAATGGAACTGAAAAAATCATTCAAATAAGTAATCGGTTGTGACTGTTGACCAGATTGATTAGACTGTTCTTCACTGTAGACAGAGGAGAAATGCGATGCAAAAAGGTTACAAATATCTTGACCATCAGACCTTGTTACGGAACCATCTGTCATCTCGGCCGGATATGAATTCAGACTGCCACGTTTCGATTTGACAAAAGACCAAAAGAATTTGGAATTAAGGGCGATATTTTCTTCAGTGCGTTTTATATAGGAATTTTAGGCATCCAACGATTGTTTTTCACACCTTTTCCTACAAATATTCAATTCTATTTTGTCTAACGGATTTTTATGTTTTTTGTATCTAAGTCTTATTTCATTTTTCTCATGCAATGCCTTGATCAAACAAGAGCTAAACCATTTCGGGATTTTTTTGTTTCGTTTTTTTATAATTGGAACATTCTCGTTAATGATTTTTTTAAGTTTATCATAAAAAATTGTCACCATGTCGTCTACCTTTCGTATTCTGAAAAAAACTTGGGACCAGTCAATTTCCACCAGGTTTCGGTTGATCATTTCATAGTCGGCCCTAAAAAAGTTTCGACTAGTGAAGTTACAGTTTTGTGCTAAGTTGTAATATTTTTTGTTTTTAAATGTATTTCTAAGGGAGGATGCAGCACATCGATTGCAGACAAAATATCGGTAGCACGGTCTACCTGTACTAATAAATGTGATTGCTCCAAGAACACTAGATCCAGGACTTTTCCCTTAGAATTCGAATATCGTTGTACTGTTTAAAGTTATTCATACAAGCAAAATCAATTAGTGTCTGACATAGCGTTGATTGAGTGGCAGATAATGTATGCTCCAATCTATTCGGTTTAATTAAAATCACCCACAATCATTGGATATACATTATTTTCTACGTACTCGAAAATCTTATTACAATTTTCAGTAAAACCGTTAAGAATAGCATGGTTACCAGGGCGTGGTAAGTATACCGCGCAAAGTGCGATATTATATTTGGAGTTTGAGTCTATGCTAATTTTGACCCACAAATCCTCGCAGGTACTTTCCCACTCACCTATACGTCTAGCATTATAATTTTTGGCGACTGCAATTAGTACACCTCCTCCCCTCTTATCATGATGAAAACCAGTTTCCCTGTCCCTGCGAAAAACTGTGTATCTATCATTAAAAATTTCAGTACTAAATACGCTCCTGTCTATCCATGTATCTGTTAAAATAATTACATCGTATTTGCTACAGCACAGATTACGGTAAAAATTGTGCGTTTTAGTTCGCAGTCCACGAGTATTTTGATAATAAATATTTAATTGAAGCTCGAAGAATGAAAATAAAAACCAATGCATGCACACAAAATGAGTAAAATTTAACTTAGCACCTATTTCACTACTCTAATTTGGATAAGTTGTCCATATTTTTAATAACAATATAACCAGCTGTATCGTTTTTTCTGACAAATATTTTCCCATTCCTGACCCAGACGTACTTGAAGCCTTTATCCTTTGTTTTTATTCTTGTAGCAGCGTGTAATGCCTTGTTTGCAGGTGTAAGGTGTTCTGAGACAAAATTGGCGTTCTTGCTCTATGGAATCCGAAATTACTACTATTCAGTTTATTTTGAGGATTGCTCTTGTTGAAAGTTATTGTTGCTGCCAGAATGTGATCCCGGGTACGGTTGGAGTCGAGCTGAACGACTATTGATCAAGGTCGAGAGCTTTCGCGATTTACTTTCGCAGTACGTGCACAGTGGAGGATGTTCTGTTCAGATATTTTATAACTAATTATAGAGCCCAACCGAGATACTACTTCAACTAAACTTTCATTTTTTTTCCGGCATGCATTGAATCTCAAGATTATTAGATCTTGCTTCTTGTTCTATTTGGTTTATGCGAAAATTTATATCGTTTATTGTGGGTTGAAGTTTATCACTCTTTATTTGTAACCCCTGTATTGATGTTTTAGATGCCTTGAGCTCCCTGTTAATTTCCTCATACTGACTACTCATAAATGACATTGACTCTTTTACGTCTTGTATTTCATCTTTGATTGATTTAAGTTGGGTGTTAAGCAAAATGCCCATTGAGATGTTAAGTTTAGTCAGTAAATTACTCATTTCCCTCTGTACTATATCTTCAATTATATTGCGAAGCCCTGTGTTCGTACTATCGTACGCGCCTTCTGGTAAATTCACAATTGGAGGAGACTTTACGGCAGGGAGTTTGCTAGGCCTTTTTGCTACGTTAATTGACGCAGGTACAGATGTATGGTCACCCCCCTCGCTGTCGCCATCAAATATTTGAGAGGTTGTTCCCGTCGGTGTTCTTTGCGTACTCATTTTGCTTATAAAGTTTTTGTAGTATCAATGCTAAATAAATAAATAAATAAAAATATTTTTCCGTCAATACGAGAAGATCCGTCCCATGCGTGGATTAGAAACCAGGACTTTCGATTCGTAGCGAGGGCGCGGCTAATCTAACCGCTGCGCCAACTAAGCTTACTCGTAGGTGGGCGAATTTAATAATCACAAACAACTGACGATGAATGACTTTGCACTTTGCAGTATATAATGTGGGTTGGTTAAGAATACATACGAATAGCACACTTTTAACTTTATCCGCGTGAGGGTGATTTTAAGTAAACCGGGTTTGCAATGAACACTTTTTTAACGTTTTATAGTCAATCCCTTACTAATTTGAATATGTTATATTGGCACAGTAAACTGGATGGTGTTAAAGCACTCTTTTACATTAAATTTCTCGGGAAACGTCACTTTTAACAGTAATATGATTTTTCAAACACAGAGGTACACTATTTACGTCTTCTCGCTCGCTAGCCCTCAATAAAACTTTTACATACGCTTATATAATAATCTAGAAAATCAATTAGATTTACCAGCATTATGTGTTTATCAACGCGCGAGCGTACATAACCGATCTCATGCTCTCCACCTTAAGCTGTTATTACGTTGATAACAGACCCGTTGTAGCAATCTGCCTATATGAAGTAATTACTAATCTGTTTCTATGGAGACAACTAATGGAAGCAACTAAATAATTAATTTTTTTATAGAATAGGATGACAAACGAGCACACAGTCCACCTGATGGTAAGTGGTTGCTGTGGCGCATAGACATCTACATATATCGTCGTTTGCGAATCAAAACGCAGTTGCGTTGTCACCCGTGAGGACTAAGATGGAATGTCTCTTTTTCAGTAAAAATGGTCTCCGAATCTCTACACTCACCATACGAAACACAGCAGTGTTAAGCTGCCATTTTACGCTGGTATTCTGTGAGAGCGTGTACCTTCCCCGGTCGGGCCGACCCACTCCTGCTACAACTATACTACCAATATAGCTGCAGCATGGCTCTACCACGTAAAATTGTAATTTACTGTTGCTACTGAGAATATTTTGATGGTGTGGAAAATGTGAAGTTCTCCTACGTGAATTTTGATATTGTCGACAACTTTTAGCTCTATGGTCAGGAGTCCCGGAGAGCGAGAACGCCTGCCAGGGAGTGGGGGTGCTGCTGTCTTCTCGGTTGGTCGATGTTATGACTGAATATAAGGTTGTGAACTCAAGACTTCTCTGGGTTCGCTTTAAATTGGGACTGACGAAGTTATTCCTTTTGGCTATTTATGCGCCGGTAGGTTCGTCGTCCAGGGCTGAGCTGGAGGAGTTTTGGGAGAATGTAAGAGAAGTTCTAGATTTGGCTAGGGGAAACGAAAGAATTGTTGTATGTGGTGATTTGAATGGATGGGTTGGTACCGCTCGACCTGGGTACGAGTCGGTACTTGGAAAGTTTGGCGATAAAAGGGTTAATGATGCTGGCAAGCTTATACTGGCGGTGTGCAAGGAAAAGGGTCTTCTTGTGACAAACACTATGTTTAATCACAAGAAAATCCATATGTATACTAGAGAACGAAAGAATGAGAGAAGTATGATTGATTTGTTCCTGGTGGATGACCGACTGCGAAAACAGGTGATGGATACGCGAGTGTTCAGGGGTGCTGACCTGGGAACGGATCACTATCTAGTGATTACTAGATTTAGGGGTCTGTTCGCGGGTTGGCGCTACCGGACGGCAGTAACAGAACCACAGTCGGTCTGTCGCATCCGAAGCTGGAAGCTTCAGGAAGCGGATACTAGGGACAAATATCATGCGAGGGTAACCGAAAAGCTTGACACCATCGATGGCAGAAAAGAATGTGTAGAAAGAACTTGGCAGAACCTTAGGGATGGAATGGTAAGTGCAGCGGAAGAAGTGTGTGGAACAATAAAAAGAGGCAGTAGTAAAAGAAGAGATGCATGGTGGAATGATGAAGTGAAAGAAGCTGTAAAAAAGAAGAAGAAAGCATGGTTAGACTACTTGGCCTCTAGTAATGATAAGGATATGAGAGAGAAGATGAAAGAAAGATATAGGCTGCAGAAAGTTCACACGAAAGCACTGATTGAGGAAGTGCGTGAAATGTGTAGAATGGTTGTCGCACAACTTCAAGGAGAACTCCAAACTCTTCTGGAAAGAGGTTGGAAGGACCCGAAGTGGTGCGACGGCCTTAAGAATGAACAAAGTGCTTTCGAGAACTAATGACGTCCTCTCAGAAAAATCGGACGTCATGCAGCGATGGAGCGAATTTTATAGAGAAATGTATGCGTGTGATGATCTTAGTGAGGGATCCGGGGATGCCGCCGTGACTGGTACGCCAGACCCGGACCTCGATGACACTGAGGTCATCAGGATGAAAGAGATTGAACGTGCGATTCGAAGTTTGAAATGTGGTAAGGCTGCGGGACTAGACAGAGTTACTGCTGAAATGGTCAAGTATGGTGGGCCTCGCGTCTGGGACAGCTTTCATCTGCTGTGCAATTTGTGCTGGCGGACGGGGGATGTCCCGGATGATTGGCGATCCGCAGTCATTGTGCCTTTATATAAAGGTAAAGGTTCACATTTTGACTGCGGGTGCTATCGGGCGATCAGCTTGACCAGTTTAGCAAGTAAAGTTTACTCGAAGGTTTTGACACGTAGGATGCAAGAGAAATCGGAAAGATTTCTATGGGAGGCACAATGCGGATTTAGACCTGGAAGAGGATGCACGGATCAAATGTTTTCTCTCCGCATGATCACGGAGAAGCTTCTGGCTGCTAACCAGAAGACTTTCTGTGCTTTTGTGGATCTTGAGAAAGCATTTGATAAGGTTGTAAGGAAGAAAATGTGGGAACTGTTGCCGGGGTATGGTGTGGATGGTCGATTGCTAAGGGCTGTGCAGTCTCTTTACTGTGACTGTAAAGCCTGTGTGCGGGTAGGGCATGACCTGTCACCCATGTTTAACGTCCAAACGGGTGTAAAGCAGGGTTGTGTCATGTCTTCCTGGCTGTTCATACTGTATCTCGACAGCTGTTTACAGAAGCTGAAAGATAGCTGTTTGGGTGTGAAATTGGGTGACATAAAAGTAAATTGTCTGCTGTATGCTGATGATGCAGTGCTTATTGCACCATCAGAGGCAGAACTGCAGGCATTAGTCACGTGTATGAAAGAGTAATGTGAAATTAAAGGTCTCCGTTTGAATGCTAATAAAACTAAGGTTCTGGTATTTGAAAGGGACGAAGAGAGAACGAAGTGTGAAATATGGGTAAATGAGGAATGTCTAGAACAGGTAAATGAAATTGTATACTTGGGGAGTGCTTTTAGCCGGGATGGAAGATGTGATTTAGATGTGGACAGGCGTGTCGCTGCCGGGATCAAAGTCAATGGTGCCCTGACTGCGTTAGTCAAAAGGCAAGGCGTAGCGAAGAGTGCACGCCTTGCAATACATAACGCAGTGTTGGTACCGACTTTGTTATATGGCAGCGAAACCTGGGTATGCCAGAAGAAGCATAAAAGTAAGTTGAATGCAGTGGAGATGCGATCTCTTCGTAAAATATGCGGCGTTACCATGGCCGACCGAAAGCGAAACGAAGAGATTCGCAATATGGCAGGTTTGAAAGATGACCTTTTCACAAAAATTGATAAGGGCGTGCTTCGGTGGTTTGGGCACGTTGAGCGAATGAGTGAAGACCGAATGGTGAAGAAAATATATAGCGCGAAAGTTAATATTAAAAGGTGTCGAGGTAGACCGAGACTAACTTTCGAAGACCATGTGAGCAAATTGCTCGAAGAGGGTAGGGTCAAAAGTACTCGGATACCTAGACGTGCATGCATGAAGAAGATAATGAATCTGAAAGAAGCGAAAAAGGTTTGTAAGGATCGTGACACTTGGCGATCTGTTCTCTCTGGCTACCCCGTCAGGGATTGTGCGTGAAGATAAGTAAGTAAGTCGACAACTTTTAAAGGATATGAAGGTAACTCTGCTGAATGTAACCATTATACGATATTATTGATGGTTGGCTAGGACGCGACGTGTGAAGTAAAGGCCTCTAAAAACAACAAGTTGTAATTTTGAAGTTGTTGGTTTGAATGAGGTTCAAATAGATCCCCCTAGACTAGAACCCGTGGCGTAGTAACCCAATACTCTGTCCAAATGATCAGTTGTCTTTAAATTTTGTGAAATTTTTAAATCGAAATTGTAGTGTTTTAAATTAAATGTATCATAGTAAGCTGGAATATCTAGGAAAAAATTAATTTTATCTAAAGAAAAAAATTGTAATTTACGTACGTAATATCGAGTGTCGTGTTATAACAGAGTTAGAGATATTATAATCTTATATTATATATACCTTAAAATCTATTATTGAAAAATATTTTGACTATCATATAAATTACCAAACTTGTAATCGAAACAAAGAGGTTGTGTTTAGCAGCATTTACTTTTTTTATACAACAAAAAGCTCACAGCCCACCTGATGATATGTGGATCTGTGGCCAATAGATATTTACATTAATCCTAGCTTAAGAATCAGAGTACAGATGCGTTATCACCCTGAGGACTAAGATGGAATGCCTGGTGTCTAATTCTATTAGAACTCTAATTCTAAATAGAGGATAAATATAGGCGTCCATGGGCCACAGCAACTTACAATTGGGTGCACTGTGTGCTCGTTTATTACTCCTATTATATAAATACAATTTTTTATAAGGATATGCCGCTTACGCTCATATAATAATCTAAAACTCAATTAGATTTACCAGCATTATGTGATTATCAACGCGTGAGCGTACATTACCGATCTCATGCTCTCCACCTTAAGCTGTTATTACATTGATAACAGACCCGTTTTAGCAATCTGCCGGTATGAAGTAATTACCAATCTGTTTCTAAGGAGACTCGTATCTCGATAGTTTATAATATTTTTGACATGTTTAAGTTTCTTTTAGATATGACTGCAATGAAAATCTAA